TGTGTATCGATCTTACTGGCTCATACAAACCTTCTACACCGAGTTATGTCTCAAGCCAACCAACTTGACCAACATATCTCTTGGTGACGCCTTTATTCGCCGGCGCCTTATGTCGCGGATGATCAGCGGTTTCGGAGCGGTAGCTTTTTTTTCAGCTCTACCAATCTGAAAATGACCTCCAGTAAACACTATCCCACGCATAGTACGTTGAGTTGAGTGTACCGAACTGCATCATACTTGATGCCGGTAGCTTACTGTCTCGGACATTCCGCCTCACCCCGTTCTCGTAGACCCGACCCCGCTCTCCGCGTGCTTTCAATTGCCAGGCCGTACGACCCATGGGCCGTCAAGACCGTGCCTAAAGAGTAACCCTGGCACGTTCATATAGTTGTTTACTGGAACTGGCGAGATCACGATGCCTCCTGTTCGGGATTGATAGTGTTCTTCAGAGCCATGACGACGACGCGGTTGGCATTCCGACACGCAATCAAGGACCTCTCCACCATATTATTGTATAACATAACGTCAGCTCCAGGCAGTTGGCCCTTGAACCAGATGTTCGTGACCTCATCTCGCGTGGGTAGGTAAGCAATGCAGCAGGCCGCATAGATCTTATGGTAGTCGGCAACGGCGGGGTCGAGGACGATAGAAGGTGGACTTGTTGCGTCCTTGGCCACCAACGCCGCGACCCCTCCGGCCACAGTGTCAACGCAGTCGATACCGGCATCGGCAATCGCGGCCGAGGCCACAGTAATGCAGCCACTTAGCACGTTCATTGTATCCCAGCCATCATCACGCTGGTTCTCGGGCGCGTTGCGGTCCTGGTCTCCCTCTATTATAGTGACGATAATGTCGACACCGCTCTTGGGCCACCGATCCGCGATGATAGCGCCTCGTAGTGCGGTCTCCAAGTGTACACCGAGATCCCTCTCGCTTGAATCTCGTAAGTAGCCGCGACGTTGTTTTGTCGCAAATGGTGCGTATTTGACGTGAGTGGTTAAGATGATATGGGGGGAGAAGGGCGCGGATCGTGGGAGAGCTCGTGGGCCATGGACGGTACATGTCAACTTAAGACTCGTGTTGCTAGGGCCAGTCGCATTAGGGTCCTCAAGCTCCAAATAGGCAGATCCAGAAGCGGACGGGGTGACGCCCGTTTTCAAAACTACGGACGAAAGGTTAGCGAGTAGAATGGCGAACAAGGCAGTCCCACTGCAGCTTGTCACGTACAAATCTTGCGAATGGCATTTTCGGGTTTCTCTGCGCGGTTCTGAAGTGAAGGAGGAGTGTCGTAGATGGGAGGCAGAGTAGTTCCCACGGGACCATTTATCCGTCTCCGGTCAGCCATGGTGGCTCGAAACTTGGGGGTTTTGTTGTCGGCGTGACCAGCACTGGCACTGATATATCTGATAGCTAGCTTTTACTGCTGTTGAAGCTATACCTAAATTCCATAACATAACCTACTTGAGGTACCTACCTGGTAGAAACACATACGAAAATCGGAGCCCACCTACCTAACCTTATCGATTTGCCCCACCAGTATCTACCTAACCAATCCCACCTCAGGCTCCACTACGGGCCAGCCTTTTCCCTTAAATTTCCATCAACAGAATTTTGCAGCTTCGTTTCCCACGTTTCTACAACTCTCTTATCACTTTGCCTTCTACCAAGGTCCAGCATCAATCGCTTCGAGAGTGCTGCCCCAGCATTAAAAGAGAAGCAAATGCTGTGTAGGTCAAAACGCTATACAATCGATTTAATTGTGATACTATCGTATCGGGTCCTGGACGAGGCTCCTGGTTCTTTGATGATCATATCTTCGCAGGCATATAGTAAAAGGTAAGTCAGAATCATTCACTCATTCATTCGGCTCAAGCCACACACTCCCCCCTATTCTTACTTCGCTATTGATGATTTCCTTTCCACTGTTCTCGCGATCACCTGAGCGTACTGAACTAAACATGCACTACCATCTGAAGCACCATCTTGCCTTGGCCCTTTTGGAACACAAATTCTGAGCCTATAGCTGACCAGCGCATTAGTTATAACACAGTCCTTACATCAGATCCACAATCCTGTCTTTCTTTATTGTATAGAAATGTGAGTTATCATACCTATCAATCTTCCTATCATACATCCACGTTATTTTCTGTGATGAGACCTAAATCATTCAGTTCTGCTTCTGAACATAATGAAGATACCCATATACCAAAAACTTACTCTGATCCAAACAACTCTTCTCAACCTGCCTAAATAGCTTACCTATCTGGTCGAAAAATTAACTGACCAATGCTCAGATTTTCTAGGTGCAGCTGCGTATTCCATCAATCCCTCGAGATCCGTACACATTCAACAGTGGTAAGCCGCCTTCACTTCTATGCCTCTACTTCGCCTATTATGATGAAAACTGTTTATCCATTCAACTATCTCACAATGGGTCGAGCCACCCTCCCACACCATAGTTAGCCCTTATGGGCCGGCGATGACTGGTTGTGGAGTTTCTTCTCAATTCCTCCAGCCCCGTGCTGGATTTCTTGGGAGTTGTCATGCTGGCTTCCGTGTTTTCTATTCCCGTGTCTCGTCTTGAGGAATGGGGTAGAGAGCCGACACATGTGAATGAGTAAACTGGTTTGCTGAATTAAAGAATCAAGTCATGTTTCGAGTCGGAAGAAATATTGTTACCTCGCTAACCAGTCTTGACATCAGGTCTCCTCTCTATTAGATTTTCCTACTTTGCGTGAAGAATTGTCACCACCCAGGTAAGATGCGAAGAAAACGTAGACGCTTGATAGTGTGATCCATGGTATAGATCTGGCGGATGCACGATCGTCATAGTCATTGTAGAATCACGTGGCTTATTCCATGTCTAAAATAAATAAATACAAGGCTGTCTGTATAGGTTTCCTATGACCTTCTATGCATAGTTCCGGCACCAGCCTGGTGATTGGGGAAGATTAGTGTGTCCGCAACTACGACGTTCTCTCTCCGGCCAGCGACGAAGACAACAACCTCGGCAATGTCATCAGGAGTCAAAGGGTCAACACCGCTAGAAGTGTCATTAGCGAGCGATGCAATATCAAATAATCCACGGGCTTATAGTAGAACTCACGCATATACAGCATCGGCCTTGGCTTTATCACCGTAAAATCGAACGACAGAGAACTCCTACATCCACATTCACATTAGCATATAATTCTCCATATCCAACAAAGCGCAGCAGTCCCGGTAAAAGACAACGCTGGGGGGGGAGGGGGGGGGGGGGGGTTTGTTTTTTTTTTGCCAAAAACCTACCGTCTCGACTTGGCCGGGATCGACCTCCAGCACACGGACGCGCGAGGCGATGAGCTCCTTGCGCAGGGAGTCGGTGAAGCTGCGCACGGCGGCCTTGGTGGCGCAGTAGATGCTGCCGCCGGCGTAGGGCTCGCGGCCCGCGATGCTGCCGATGTTGATGATGTCGCCGGAGCCGCCGTTGGGGCGGCGCAGGAAGACGGGCAGGACGGCCTGCGTCATGTTGATGAGGCCCGTCACGTTCGTGCTGATCATGACGTCCACGTCCTCCTCGGCGATTTCCGGGGCCTTGGCTACGCCCTTGACGAGACCGCTGCGTATCGTGTTAGCTGTCGTTTTCCCCCTCCTCCGCTGTTCTCTCTCCGTCTGCCTAGTTCCGCCGTAGAGGGAGGTAGACGGCTAAGAGGGTTATGCAGCTAGTGGGTACGTAGGGTAAATCAACACACTCACGCGTTATTCACGAGCACGTCGATCTCCTTGAATTCCTCCGGCAGCTTCGCGACGAAACCCCGCACCTCGTCCGGCTTGCTCACGTCGAGCTGCACGGGGAGGACCTTGACGCCGTCGCCGCCGACCTCGGCCTGGATGTCGGCGGCGATCTGCCTCAGCGTGTCGACGCGGCGCGCCGTGAGCACGAGCTTGAGGCCCCCCGCGGGCGCGGCCGTCCGCGCGAACTCGAAGGCCGTGCTGCGCCCGATGCCGGACGACGCGCCCGTGATCAGCACGGTCTTGCCGGCGAGGCGCTTGGCGACGGCCGAGGACATGGTGCGCGATGCGAGGTGAGGGGTGAGGCGGAGCGTTTGCAGAGGCAGAGGCAGAGGCGGGCTGGATCCCGGTCGGAAGCGGCTGTGCAGGAGCGTGCGTAGGGTGTGGTGGATTGAGGCTGTTGTGCGATGGAGGGGCATGTAGGATTGGGTGGATGGATGGATGGATGGCGACAGTATGGGTATAAAAAGAAGGGAAAAATCAAAGTTCAAAATGCAGACCGTCTCCCTCCCATTGGTCCTTACTGGTCAATTCTGGGTTACAGTGCTTAAAACCAAGGCGGGATATTATTATACATTCGATATCGGAATAAAAAGCTACCTCTATGTATACAGAGCTGTAGGTACGATGTCGCCATTGTCGTGCGGTGGGATCGACCCTCTTCTTTCTTTCCCTCTCTCCCTCTCTCTCCCCCATCAACCCCGCCCGCCGCACATAGTCTTGTCCGAGCTTGCCCCGCCGCGTCCCAAACGCCGATTTCCCGGGTGATTTAGGATTGAAATACGGCGCGAACGAAACGCCATGGGAGGGTATTTTTGCGTCAGATTTCGGTTTTTTAGGGGATATGAATACGTATTAATTAGACTAGTGGTATTGACGGCCCAGTGTTGAGGTGACGATGCCATGAACAGTTGCTGCGTAGTGGTCCAGCCCAAAATAGGTAGTCTACTTCTCTCTAGACATCGCCCGCCTTACTGCTCCGCTTTCAAAGCGCGAACGGCGAAATCGACTTCTTCAAATCTCATCCCAGGGTGAATGATGAGATAGAGCGTACGATTCCTTTTTCGTCTTCATTTCAATGTCCACAAAACGATGCAGAATAATTAGTGTATGCGTGCTGCACTTTTTTTTTTGGTTTGTGACATCATTGCTTACTGGGAGAAGGGGGCTCTGAAAAGTGGTGCGCAGACTTGTGAATATCATCCATCCCAAAGCCGAATATGCGCACAGCTGAGGTAGTGTAGTGGTTAGCACGTAGGATTTTGATGATAATCAATCTCTGATTTCCTGAATCCCCGGTTCGAACCCGGGCCACAGCTTTTTGTTTGCTACGTACAAACCCTTTTTATTTTTTATGTCTCACTATGTCTGTGCGATATGGGCGGGTTTTCCTTCCGTCCTGCGTGGTTTCAGGGGCTTTGGGGCCTCAGGCTTAAATTTTCGATTGGAATTCCACTCCTAGAGTTCGAGGCGCCATGCTTAAGGGGAAAACGAAGTTTGAAGCTTTACATGGCTTAGATATTTAATACCTTGGACTACGATGGTACGTCAAACTAGGAAATAGCAATGCGTTAATAAAAGGCCATTATGTCTCACAGTGGTTGGGTACAAGGTAGCCCGAAAAGCAGAGTTGATAGCCGTGTATGACCAACTGCACCAGCCCCCATATCCTTTAAATAGAATACACAATCTATTACGTTTAAGCGCTGATCTAAAAAGCATCGCTCGTACATTCTTCCTCGCTATTTAACATCTAGTCTCCTTCTTCAGTCTACCAAAATCACTCGACACTCCGGTTGGATATTGTTTATTCGCTGGGTTGCTATATGCCGAACACGAAATATCCGGTGAAGAAAAAGAAAGGAAAAGAGACCGAAATTTGTATGGTGTCGTATACCAAGAAGCTCTATTCGATCATAGGATAAAACTAGAATTCTTAAGGATGTCGGGGCGCTCCTGATATAGGATACCAGATCTTGCTACCGAATAGTGCTTTGAGATGCAGTAAATGCTGTTCAATCCTCTCCTCGTATATGAATCCTCAGCCATCAGGGGTGCATAGCCATAGTATGATATCAGGAACGCTCTGATTCAAGCGCTATAGCTCTCCCCCACGGTAAGTGTTGATATTAGATTATCGTTGTAGTTATAGCCGAAACAGTGCCGTCGTGCATTGAAAAGGCTGTTCCCACTATGTCATAGTCTCCCAAATCTCGCGAACGATCGCAGAATATGGGCTTGTGTATCGTGTCCTCTTAACTAGATTCATGGCTCTCGCGAATGGGAAGGATCTCTCGAGATTCCGTAGGAATCTAATAAGTTTTTATAATCCATCAAGCCAGCTCTTCACGGCAGAGATCGCAATGTCGTATTCAAACGCGGCACTCTCCTTTGGAGCTAAAGGCGGAGGCTTATCCCAGGCGTGTTTCTCGCCCTCAACGACGCGGAGGCTGACCTTATTGCCATGTTTTTCAAGCCTTTCCGCGAACAGCCTGCCCTCTGCGAGTAACATGTCGTATTGACAGAGGCAAAGATGAACGGGGGGTAGTCGGTCCAGCAGTTCGTCGGGCATCAGTCCCGGCGAGAGCCGTATGTCAGTTCGTTCGCGCCGTGGAATCGGGGGATGTAGATACGACGCGTCGATCAGATCTGTCATTCCGCTCGGCAGTGTCAGATCGGGCCGTTCACATGCCATTCGTTTCTGATGTCGGTCCAGTGTCCAGTCGAGAGGGGGATAAAAAAGAACGAGGCCGGCGAACTTGGGCAGAGGTTCTGGGATGTCGTAGTTCCACCTCGTAGGGTCTGCTAAGACAATCCAACTACTTGTCGCCAGAGTACCGCCAGCAGAGAAGCCAGAGAGTAGGATGCGGTTCGTGTCGATGTTGTATCGATCTGCGAGCCGACATATCTGGATAATAGCGTCGGCGCAGTCCTCTACCGGTGCCGGAAATGGGTAGCCCGGAGCGAGGCGGTAATTAACTGAGAAGACTACGGCGCCCAAACTATTCACGAGGCTATTGGCCCATCGAGAATCGTCGGTGCCCGAGCCGAGGATAAAGCCGCCTCCGTGGAAATTGATTACAGCTGGTCTCTTCTCAGCTTTAGGTGGCTGCGAGCTAGCGGGCGGGATCCATACGTTTGCGCTGATTGTCCTTTTGCCTTTCCATTCACCTAAAGTGGAATCCAGCCATATTGTTTCCGTAGGGGATGACACTGACGGGCCTGAGCGGTTACCAAGATTGAATCCGAAGCTAGCGAGGCAACGGAAGGCAAAAGCGTGAGCTCCCAAAAGCCAACGGGGGCTCTTGTGCGCAGGATTCACGTAGTCATCCTCCACGGGGGGTGGTCCAATATCGTGGATGGAAGCGACTTCGGCAGTATCGACTTCCGTTGTGCCCTTACTATCCTTAGTGCTTTTAGGCATTTCCATAATAATCCCGGTGCGTCTATTGGGAGGTCGAGGGCGATTCTATAGGGATCTCGTCCTGAACTCAATCTTGAAGGCAGGCTATGAGATTAAGTAACATGGTGGGGTCGTGACGTCGTATTTCGCACCGGCAAACCGCATCTCTCGCGCTGAAAGACCCTTGTAGCAACTGTCTAAGGAACAGGTAAGGGCACATTTGCCACCTCGACGGAATCTGGTTGCCTACCTTGGCAAGCCAGGTAATGCTTTAATAACAGGACTCCCCCCTGACACACATGCTGTGACATATGACTGTCGAGACTGGTTACTGACTGGTCTGAAAGTTGAAAGCCGATTTGTTCGGATGGAATTTTACTGAAGCATGCGCTGCTAAAACCTAATATCCACTACATCTCTAGCAACGAGAGGAACGGTGACGTCACCACATCAACATATTGCATCGCGACACAGATCTTGTCAAAAATAATTAAAATAATTAGTATTGTCTAGCTCGTCGCTACATGCCTGCCCATTCTAGGCAAAAGGTTCGAACTGGTGGCGCCACTGGCCCACCTCTGAGTTTCGGCCGCCTAGCCTTTTCATCTTCGTCATCGTCGCCAGCCCCTTTAGCGCCCGATCCGTCAGTTACGGCTCCACCAAAGAGATAACCTTTCTTGACAGAAGTACTCAGTCGCCCGCCACCCACAAGGTCCATCATGGTGATTTCTTCATCCCAGCCAAAGTGGACACCGGCAAAGTGGCTGTGGAAGCGCAGAGGATCGCCGGGGTATACATTATAGTCGCAGCCGAAGCGGAGACCAGGCATCATATAGTATCCTTTATCGTGCAGGTGCGCAAACAAGGGATAAGATACGGGCACGTCTACGGCAACTGGGTGCTCTAGTTCTGAGTCTGGTGAGAATGGTAAAAGAAAGCTGCTAGTAGTGGGCGTGAGTGCGTAGCCCTCAACCTCGCTAGGCAACTTTTTGATTGATTCGCGCTGTGTGGGCGCCGAATCAAAGAGAGCACTGCTCTCATCTGCCTCGGTATCACCGCCGACAAGATGGTCGGTGGATGAGTCTTCTGGTTTTTTTGGCCCCTCCTTCTTTTTCTTTTTGGATTTCCCCTCCTGTAGCTTGGGTTTATTGCGATTCTGGCTCTCGATCATAGCTAACTGCATCCTCTTACCCTCGTTCTTGAGCGATTGCACGTAGGCTCGCCGTGACAGCTCATCGAACATTGCTAGTCGAGCTGGATGGAACGTTGCGTCGTCAGCGACGTATGCTACCTTCTTTTCCACTAGAACTTGCGCTTCTTCTGGCATGAGTTCTATGGGAAGCCCCATGAAAACGTTCTGTTGAGGATTCTGGGGGATAGTCCCTACGAAGACGGAGCATATATTGTAGTTCCTGCGTAAATACATCACGTCGTCTATGTCGAAGAGCAAGTATCTTCCGGCAACCTTTGATATCCTCACCAGAGGATACTCCTGAGATGAGGATGAAGCCATTGTCACGGTGGCAATCGCCCTGTCTGGGAATGAGTTAGCTGATGAACTCTCCTAACACTTGCGACAATACAATAGAGCAAATATGCGTAGGATCATAAAACCAGATATATAGGTTATCAACAGAATGTTTTATTCAGTGGATTGACAGATATTGATTGGGTCTAATCATTGTAGAAATAGTAAAAAGAAAGCATATTTTGTTGACTCACCTGTTATTGTGGTTTGAATGTTGTAGGAATTTGATTCGGGTTCAGATTTGGAGAAAAAGTTTTGGGGACATGTGGGTGGGGTCCGGTGGAGCCTCATATCCTTGTGAAGAATAGTATGTAATAAAAGGTAATTCGTTTTGTGGAATTATGCAATTACCACATAACCGTATTTCCAATCAAAGCCTATAGGGACATATACCTTCGGCCACAGATTTTCAAAGTTCGGCTCATCTAGCTTTAGAAATCCATACTTGGTTTTCCAGAATCACCTGTTTTGGGCTCGTTCTCATCACCGTCGGCCGGAGGGAGGTAGAAAGGCTTAATTATCAATCCCCTCGACCTACTCAGGCTGAAAGACTGATCATCGAGTGCCGAGTGTGATCCACCACCTTTCTCGTGGAAGATTGGCAGGCTGTGGACTTTCACCAGGCCCTGGACTTTCTCATCATCCTTTCCGTCACTTTTTGATGATGGTGGAGGTTTATGGATAGTCGTAGATTGCAGTGGTATGAATTCGAGCACACCATCAGACAACAATTCCATCCACCGCGTGAGGCCTGTCGTCCGGGGATAAAGGGAGAGAGGTAATGTCAGAAGAACGGTTAGGTTCTTCGAATATTGCCTTAATACGGCTCTCAAAGCATGAAAGAATTGTAGCACTTCCTGAGGAAGGGAAGACGAGCTCGAGTACATAGTCGGGGCCAATATATTTGGAACTATGACGCGATGGACCAATGACGGTGGAGAATTCGCCAGTTTCGATGATAAGTCTTTAATGAAAAGCTTGAATGGGGAGGTCTGTTGAGCTCGAGGACCTGGGGCAGCCATAGTTTGGTGAAAGCCGATCTGACCCTTGACGTCGCTGGGGGCCAACCTTTTTGTAAGATCGAATGAATGGCAAAAGGGCACGGTAGAGCTTGCATTAGATGAGCTCTGGGCTCGTTGTGCTTCTCTATCTTATAAGGGTGTGAGTTGATTATAGGCTTTTTATCTATAGAGTTGACTTATAACATACCTCTTGCTGCCCCTGCGGAACCTAAACTCTCATATCTCCAAGCAATCTTCATTTTGTCACCCGAGGCGACTTCCGACTTGCTGGAAGACTTGGAATCGGTCGCAAGCCCAGGTAACTCTGCCCGCCAGCCTTCGTGGAGGCCAAGTACGTGAATTTGGTGTCCCTGTACTAGACCCTCA